CTAAGGACAGAGTACGAAGAAGGAATCTGCAGTGGACACCTTGTAATACAGACAATGAAAACATTGTCTGATACTGAAAGCCAATGGATGGAAACAGAACACTGTCAGAGATAGTGCCAAAGGACGGATCAGAAGGCATTTGAAAACTGAAAGAGGAGGAGTGTGAGTGTGACGTGAATGGAGTAAAGCCTGTGGGAGCAAAGCCTTTAGGATCTTCATTTGTTGATGAGACATAACTCAAAATTAGAAGAAACAACTGAAAATGTCCATAATTGGAACTTGGAATGTATGAAGTATGCATCTAGGAAATTCGGAAGTTGTCAAAAATGACATGGTGATAGGGCAGATGTTCACTAAATTCATTCACAGAGGCAGATCCTCGCCTACCAGATAAACACATGTCATAAGAAAGTAAGGAGAGCGATTAAATCGTAGCTATCTGATTGTCCTAGGCCATCATGCAGGGGACGTCCTCCAGGCAAGAGGTCCAAACGAAAGTCTAATGACCTCCATCCAGTCCTGTAACCTTGAGATAGCTGTAATCTGCTTCTTCTCACAGGGACTGTCAGCCTTCATGTCCAAGGGCTACAAGGGAGTTTGAAGTAAAGCCCTGTTCACTTATGGGGTTTCCGCATCAAGTCCTTCTGGTGTGGCCTATGAAGGATGTTGTGGGCTGCGAAAGAACAGTCTAAGGTCTCAATCAACAGTCAGTAGCACATAGCCTGAATTGTCAAGAGCTGGGTAGAAACTAGGTCAAAAATACTTAATTAGGAACAGTACTGGGTATATTCTCTTCCTGAGTTCTACATAAGTATTGTTAAACATTCTTTTCATGATGAGAGGTTGCTCCTCCCTGTTTACCCATCAATAGAAAAGTACTTCCTTCTCTGAGATCTGACCTTCTTCTCATCTTGACTCGGATGCCCAGGAAACTCCATTGATTTGGTGTGATCGTAGTAAAATGGTATGTCTCCCTCCTCCCACATCTTGAAAAACTGATCCCAGCTGAGGTGAGATCTCCTTTGTCAAAGTGTACACACACACACACACACACACATATATATATACTGTTTATATCTATAATGGTTTTTCATTTCGCTTTCCAGAATAGTTGTACAGGTTTGCAATCTCCTCTGCAGTGCGCGAGGGTTCCAATCTGCCCGTACTCTCTCCAGCTTTGATTGCTCTCCCTGTTTTTGAGGTTTGCTGTTCCTCTGGGCGTGGGGTGGTATCTGGCCATTGTCTTGATTTGCTTCTTCTGAATGGCTAATGACAGTGAGTACTTCCATTCACTCAGGAGATTATTCTGTACCAATCAACAGTTCATGTAGTGTGATTTGTATCCAGCCAATACTTCTATAATTTCCTTTCCACGACAGTATTTTCAGTTCTATATCATTGGCTAAATTAATGTCCGTATCAAGAATTGCCTTGTGTCCCAGGGGTATGAGTGATACTATTCTCTAACATAAGTTGAAAATGATTTCTCTAACGTGAACCAGAGACCGATGTAAACCATAGAGAGATAGATGGATGGATTTGGGGCTCACACTTAATTCTAGCCCCAATCGAAGAACAGTTAGTTCTCCTGAACACGACCCTGCTTCATGCTCACGCTCATGGAGAGATCAATGAAGATAAGGCTGCGATGGCAAAGTGTGGTGAAGACACCAGGTGTTTCACCTCTGGGGCACCTGGTTTCTGATTTGCAGCATAGATACTGTTTGGACCCATTGCTAAAAATAAAGTCTTTCTTTGGTTTTTAACCTCTAGAGCAGTGGTTCTCAACCTTCCTAATGCCGTGACCCTTTAATACAGTTCCTCATATTGTGGTGACCCCACCCCCCAACAATAAAATTATTTTTGTTGCTACTTCATAGCTGGAATGTTGCAACTGTTATGAATCGGGTGACCCCTGTGAAAGGGTCGTTTGACCCCCAAAGGGGTCGCAACCCAATCAACAAACTACTAGAGAGCTTTTTTTTTTTTAAATCAACAAACTACTGTGATATTGTCATCTTGAATCCATGCCTTAACTCTAATCATATCAACTGTTAAGTGTAAAAAATTGCCGTGGGAATTGATATGCGATTTGTAAGCAAAAAGAATCTCTACGCATGGAGACAGGAAGCTCATATACCCTTTGACCTTTTTGGAATCCTATGGCTGAGATGGAGGCTGTGGAACCATTGGGACAGAAGGTTCATCACCAAGGCCTTCCATTATTTGTGGCCGGGCAGTAAATGTTGGCTCAAAGAATAAACCTATATTTATTAGCATATGTGTTTACCACATTGTATGTATAAGTTGTTCTAGTTGAAGAAGGTTATCTCACTGATAGCAGACAACATGTTTCCCCACTCGGGAAGTGTGGGGAGGAAAAGGGGTACACTTCAGGGGAGGAGGGGTCCGCTGGGGAGGAGAAGTAGAAATCTATAGGAGAATGCGGCAAATGAACTGGTCTTGTTCCTGTATTCATTTCTTCAGCAGACATGTTTAAGCTTCTACTATGGCTGAGTCCTTGTGGTGGAATTGGTTACACCTTTGGCAGCTAACATCATGGTCAGTAGTTCAGACCTACATGGGAGCAAGATGTGGCGGTCTGCAGCTGTAAAGATTTACAGCCTCTGTCACTCCCGGGAGCACTTCTACTCTGCCCTTCATGTTGATATGAGTCAGAATGAAATAGTGGCAGTGGGCTTGATTTTGGATAAATGCAAGCTCAAAATAAGGAGCCTGGTGGTACAGCAGCTAAGTGCTTGCTTGATTGCTATAGGAAAGGTCAGCGTGGTTCAAACCATCCATCTCTCCTGGGCAAGCGTGGCAGTCTGCTTCTGTAAAGATTTACAGCCTTGGGACCGTTCCTCTCCGTCCTACAGGCTCATTATGAGCTGGAATTTACTCTATAGCAACGAGTTTGGTGTATAAATAAAGTGTGATGCCCATGACAGTAGGACTGTAAATAAAACAGTAACTTCTTTTTTCCCATAGCTCACTGTCTTGATGACAGTCTATTAAAACAAGAAGCTGCACTAAAACGTGAAAAAATGTTATAGGGAGAGAAATACAGAAAACAATGGGAGCGTTTCCATAGTGGGGTCCTTCCTAGCTTAGGGTCAGAGGTGGTTGCCCCAAGAATAGTGTCTGGAGTGAGATCTGAAACCCGAGGGAGCTAGTCGGTGGTGTGAAAGGGCTGGGGTGGAAGCATGGGGAGGGTAGTACAGAGAAAGCAGGAATGAAAAGCTTTGTTTGAAATTGTAACATGACCAGTGAGCTAAATATCCATCTTTCCATCAGAACCCACTGAGACTCTCTAGGGCTCTTACCATCAGAACAAGCAGGTGCGGGCAGAACAAGAAATTGATCTTGTGCTCCAAGAATGTGCACAGGTAATTTTCACACTAGCAGACGTGAGAGACACCTTCAAACTGATGGAAGCACACAATAGACGGAGCCCAGATTTCCTGAGACAGAAAGATTATCCAAGACTTTTGAGGGAGTTGGCATTTACGATGCTCCTTAAAGGATGAACAGGGTGAGACCTGCAGTGTGGAGGGAGCTCAGGGCTGTTTGCCATTTCTTTTTGCTTTTGACTGTGTTGTGACCCTGACTTATTTGTTCAGCTAGGATTGTGTCTCAGCAGAGCCTCTGCATCTGTTCTGAACCTCAACTGCAGCCTTATCCTTTTACCTGTGTGCCGGACCCTCCTGGCTTTTCTGAGAGGATCTCAGAAGGTAAGAATGAATACAATCTTAGGTGCAGATTCTAGCAGAAACATCAAGTACAAACATAGCATTGCTAGTTATGGTTAGTTTTCCTTAGGGTCTGGTCTGCCTTTCTGCTGGACTGATTTCCCCCAAAATGACAGTCAAGGCCCATGCCACTTGTCATGCTGATCGGAGTGCTATTTTGTAATGCTGGTATGGGCAGGCGATAATAGGGGGTGGATTTTAAAAATTCATGGGAGGGGGGCATCATATTTTAATTCCATTTTCTCATAAACTTTTTGAAACCCCTCATAGTTATTATTGATAGTGATATCAGGCATTGTGGTAAGCACTTCTTGTATGCAATTGTGAATCCTCTCAACAAGTCTGTAATCAGGGATTGTTAGTTCTACTTCATAGATGAGGACCCCGAGGCAAAGAAATTTGAAATAACGTGGCCAACATTATGAGGCTAGTGAATGGCAGGGCTAGACTCAGTTCCAGTTCTGAGCTCTTTCCACTTGACCGTGCCACATTGATATCTTGCATTTTCCTGTAGTTAAGCCCAGGTGAGAAATCTAGAACCCCAATGACTTCGAAGCAATATATAGGATGATTACTTCTCTTGGGGTAACTTAACCGTACACCCATTTTAAGCTGGATCTTGATTTGATAGTGAGGTCCATGTGTGTGTTCTATTGTTATGATGTGAATGATGCAAGAATACAGAAAAAGCACTGGTATTCCATTAAAACGAAACTGAGGCTGTTTTTCATTTTCAATTATCCTCTCATGTATGTGTGAGTGTGTCTGTGTGTATGTATTATTTTTGCACTAACATAGTAAGTGAGGTTCTGTTGGATAGATGCTGCTATTACAGATGTTGTTAATTTGAGGTAGCTTTGATGTTCAGTGAATTTCACATCAGTGGATTTATTCAGGTGAAATCTTTCAACCTTTTCATGTAATTATAATTGGAAACTCTTTACTTTTAATGCAGTAATTTGTGGAAATAGCTCTTTTCCTAAGCTGGCTGCCACTGTAAAATGCTAGGTTTTGATCCCTGTGGCTGGCTATTGGCTTGGTGTGAAGAAAGAGAAGTACCAGGAAATGAAAAGTGCCCACCTACGTCTCTCAGTATTTAATATGATTTCATTAATTGTCCCCTGGTGTGAAACATAGGTATTCAAAGATACTTGATATTTTTCCATAAGATCAAGAAAAAATATAAAACTAAATGGTTTGCTTCACTTACAAAACAATCTATTTTTGGACTGCAAAAGGAAGTCTTATATATTGTACACTTAAAACATTCCTGAAATTTGCTAAGTAAAAAGATAAAAATTTCTTCCAATTCAATCCCACCAGGACAAAGACTGATGACAGTTTGGATAAGTATCTGTAGATGTCTTATGATGTAATATATTTAATTTAAATAAGATAGTATCATCCTGTAGTTTATATTGTATATATACCAATAATATAGCTTGTTATGTTTTTACCAATAATTGCATATTTACCAATAACAGCCTCCTCACTTTCTCTTTGCTGGTTTCCTGAATGTTCCATTGACTAGATATGTCATAATGTATCTTAATAATTTTGATTTTATAAGTGAAAACTTTGTACAAATATCATTTTTCCCAAACATTATTTTATTTAGGTTCCAAGTAGGCGGACAAGAAGATTGTTGGATAAAAGCAGAACATTTCATATAACATGTGGTGTTACTATTTGTGTTCTCTCAGGTAAGAAAGCTAAAAGATGTAAAACACCTTATTACTCTTATTGTTAGAATCAGTCAACTAGGCTCGAACTCATAGCAACCCCATACACAATGGAAAACAATGTTGCACAGTCCTGGGCTGTCTTCACAGTGTTCCTATGTTTGAGTCCATTGTTGCAGCCACTGCGCCAATGCATCTCACCAAGGGTGCCCTCTCCCTCTTGTTTGCTGACCCTCTTCTTTACCAATCATGATGTTTTTTCCAGAGACTGATATACTTCAGTCTTTGTGATAGACTTGCCATACCCTTGCTTGTAAAGAGCATTCTGTGACTACTTCTTCCAAAGCAGATTTGTTTATACTTCCAGAGTCAAGGGTATAGTCAATATTCTTTGTCAAGACTGAAATTCAAATGGGGGAAGTCTTCTCCCGTCTTTCTTATTTATTACCAGCTTTCAGATACGCAAGAAGTAATTGGAAAAACTGTTAGAACTTCAAATTTTATAGATGGTATCTTTATTGTTTTGTAAATTATCCACGATTACTAAGTTGTAGTTATTATTATTATATAACTTAACTTTCATTTCACTGTGTTTAAAGAGGGTCAATTAAAGAGAACTACAGAAATGTGTATATTATTGATTTTTTCCCCATTGTAAATAAGCCAAGTATGGGCCTCTAGACTGGTTATAATGTTTTTGGAAAGTAAATAATTCCTTTAGAAAGATTGAAAAAAGCAGACAAAAGTGTTTTTTTAAATCATTTTATTAGGGGCTCATACAACTCTTATCACAATCCATATATACATCAATTGTGTAAAGCGCATTTGTACATTCATTGACCTCATCATTCTCAAAACATTTCCTCTCCACTTAAGCCCCTGGCATTAGGTCCTCATTTTTCCCCTCCCTCCCCGCTCCCCTCTCCCTCATGAGCCCTTGATAATTTATAAATTATTATTTTGTCATATCTCTGATAAAAATTTTAAGCTCTTAAAAATATAACATGACATGGAAAAGTACATGAAAATTAGAAAGTGAAATATAGGTTCTTAGAATATGATTCTAGTTAAAATTATATTTGAGAAACATTTCTGTATCATTAATAATTGAGTAGAAGAATAAATACCAAATTTGTTGAAATTTGTCTTGCTTCATTTCAAGTTAAAAAGTAGAGTCACAATATTTTGTTTTTTAAGAGTCATTTTAGAAATGTCTATATCCTACTCTCCACATTTTCTTAATCAGAAATCAACATGCACAGTGATGAACTATGTGAATTCTGCCATTAGTCAGCCTAAGTTCTATCTCCCTCTGCCCTTCTATCTTATTGTGTGCCACTACCTCTCAGATCCCGTTTATTATCTTATTAACTGTAAAATGTGTTGATAGTAGCACTTACCTCATATTTATTTGCAATCCAAAATGCACCTAAACCCTTAGAATCAGTCATAATAATTTATAATTTTAGTTTAGGGCTTTGCTGCTATTTGAAGCAATGTCATTACTGTGGACATTTCTGTATGACAATTTTGACTCACCAGTGTTTGCAGGCCGCCATCATTGCCCATAGGTTCTGTCGTGCTGACTCACAGTGACCATATGAATAAATGCAGCAATGAAGTTCTCATTGTCTGGTCCTCACAGTGGTTAAGTTTGAACCCCTGTAGTCACCGTGTCAATCCAAACCTCATTTGTTCCTGCAGAACTTGTATGTGGATCAAGAGGCAGTCATTTGAACAGGTCAAAGGCCTACTGCATGGTTTAAAATCAGAAAAGGTGTGCATTAGGGTTGCATCCTCTCACCATACTTACTCAATCTGTCTGCTCAGCAAATAATTAGAGGAAATGGATTATATGAAGAATATTTAGGCATCAGAATTGGAAGAAGACTTATTAACAGCCTATCTGCATCAGTTGTTATCTGCAACCTATCAGCATATCTGATATGCAGATAGTACAACCTTTCTTGCTGAAATGAAGAACTTGAAGCACTTGCTGATGAAGATCAAGGGTTTTAGCCTTCAGTATGGATTACCACTCAGATAAAGAAATTCACAATACTCACAGTTGGACCCTCCTGATAAATGACCAAAGACTGAAGCTGTCAAGGATTTCACCTTGCTTGTATCAATGTTCATGAAAGCAGCAGTTAAGAGATCAAAGGATGCCCTGCATTGAACACATCTGTTACACAGTGCTTCTTAGAGTGTTGAAAAGCAGGGCGGTTACTTTGAGGTCTACGTGTGCCTGTCCCAAGCCCTGGTATTTTCACTTGCCTCATATGCCTGTGAAAGTTGGATATTGTATAAGAAAGACTGAAGAAGAACAGATATTTTTGAATTTTGGTGGTAATTGAATATGGCCGTTAAAGAATATTGAAGGTACCATGGACTGCTAACAGAACAAACCAATTTGTTTGGGAAGAAGTATGGACAGAATGGTTCTTAGAATAATATATTTGGAAATGTTGTCAGGAGAGACTGATTCTTGGAGAAGGGCGTCATGCATATCTAAGTGGTAGGCTGGCAAAAAAGAGGACGGCCCCCAAAGAGATGGATTGACAGAGTGACTACAACAATGGGCTCAAACACAGGAAAACTTGGGACGGTGGTGCAAGACCTGGCAGTGCTTTGGTTTTTTGTGGTTAGGTTCACTAAGAGTCATAACCAACAAATTGGCACCTAACAATAGCAACAATAAAAATACAGCATTATGTAGTGTCCTTCGTTGTCTCTTTTTATAGTTTGAATCTTGAAATCAATATTGTCGGAGATTAAGATAGCCACCCCTGCCTTTTTGGAGTTAGAATGTGCTTGATAGACTTTCTGCCATCCCTTTATTCTTAGCATATTCTTGTCTGTGTGCT